CATGCAGTATGTTGGTTTTATGTACTCTTTACCCTGGTAAACAAACAGTTACAGCTAGTAATAATACAACATTTTCAACACATTCTATAAATGCAATAAAATGGCCTAAAATCTGCCTACGGCTACGCAAATTTGGCAATGGCCATGTTCCATTGTTGAATTGCATCCAAACTCCTAAAATTTATACATTTTGAAACCGCCATACAATGCTAAAATCTAAATAAAATATTTTGTACGTGCTATGTTATCGAAATGTAAATCATAAACTCACAGTATTGCGCTGGCACATATTTTTATTATTGTATCAATTTTATTATGATTATCACAAAACGTAAATAGTGTAAAAATGATTTTATTGTATATTACAACGGAAAGACATAACGCTGAAGTATTTGACACGTACTGCTCTACTCCCGTCTAGTTTTAATTTTAGACGGTAGATACTGTTAGACTAGCTGTCGTTCGGATTCACAAAATATTTAAAATATTACACTTTATGCATGTTTCATATGCGTTCACAATACCGTTGAAATATGTTCTGATCTTTTCAAATCTTCATGTTAGCGACCAACCAATCACAACCCATTTCCCTGTGAATTAGCCAATTAGCTATTCCGACCACCAGACGGTCGGATTCCACAGCGTTTTGACAACATTTTCATCAGACCTACGTTTCGCCCTTTCCGTCGACCTGGGAATTTTAGGGCGGGCGAAACGTAGGTCTGTTTTCAGGCTAAGTCAAACCGGGACCATTTCGTTTCGGTCATAATATTATTTATAATAGATGTTTACATGAGACCGGGACAAAAATAACTCAGACCAGTCTCAAGTCATTCCGCCTGCTGGACCGACCCGACTGACTTCAGACGGGCATGAATTCAGACCAGAATGAATGTAAACACAAATACATTTTAGACCGGTCTCGGATGTAACCTTGACATTGGAACAAGTGAACAACACATGCTAACAAAAGCCATCTAAAAAAGAAAATTGCCTGGCAAGGGGAATAAATTGAAAATTTTGTGATTTTCATACCGGTCTCATCTAAATATGCTGACAATTTCAATTTTCATTCCAGTTTGGTTTCATCCCGGTCTCATGTAAACGGGGCCTTACAAACTGTGATTCAGTATCATGGGATGAGATTAAGGAATTGAAAGATTTTATAAGTGAGCAATGTTTAAAAGCAAGATATATAAACTATGAAAGAAATGGCACTAACAGAGCCAAAACTTTTCCAGAAAAGTGTATAATCTCATGATACTGCATGAATCACAGTTTGTTAGAAAATCCTTCAAAATTTAGCTAAATGTTTCCAAAACTTCAGTCAATATAGTTTTGTAGTACACTCATCTAAGGGTTCCTTTCACCTTTCACCTTTCACCTTGCCAAGACCTGTCACTATTATGGGTTGCCTGATAGATATAATTCCTCAAATCATGATTTTTGAATTTAAGTGGATAGACATTTTCAATTGCACGGATTATTGGGTCATATTTCTCTGCTATTTAGCATTAATATTGTAGCCATTTTCAGGAAAGGAAGTGCAAACAAGCGCATACAATAGCAATTCTTCAACTAATGGGCAACCAATTCTAAATAGCAAGGAAGCTGATTGACTGTAGGGGTATGGATAGCTTTTTCATGGGCTCTGCTCAGTTTGTATGTTGTAACTTATGTCGAGCCATTGCAAGTCAATTTAACAAAGGCCAGTAAACAAATTTGACAAAAATATACACGATAAAGTTGCACATTTGAGGTTGGAGTTTGGTACTATTTCAACTGTCAGTTCGACATCGAACTTTGAAAGGTTCAAAACCTATCTGTCTCATGTTTGCTCACTCCATAATTTTGTCTACGCAAAGGTTTCCATCATAACTTCATAACAAATTATAATTAAGGTTTTGGAAATCATTGGTTTTTTATCAGGAAGCAGTGCGCGCTAACACTCTCTTACAACATTTCGACGGCCATTTTTAAACACCAAATTAAACGGAGTACAGAAACAAAGTTTTTCGTTACTTAAATCTTATCTTTAAGTTTCTTATAATAGCTAAAAGTAACAAACACATATAAATTTTACACAAGTAATATTTTATAAAGCAATAGTTTCAGCATACCTTCTGATGGGTCACACACGCGTCGCCATATTTGTTTACAATTAGAACGTCTTACCCCCCCCCCCGCAAAGCCCGCATCACGGATGGTCCCAAGACTTGTATTGCCGTTTCCACGCCCTCTCTCCCTTCGCCCTGGTAGTTATTATACTGTGTACGGCACTATCGTATGCAAGAGGTTGTATATATTATCTCGCGATCGTACAACACGGACGCGAACGCTCTATGTACTGTAGCTTGTGAAACGCAAGGATTTTAACTATCGTTTTGTGAAGGATAAATCAAGGGAAAAGGTTGCGCAAAAACAGCAGATTTTTTATAACTAATTCGGAGTTTCGAATGCGCATCCAAATGACGCGTTCTGCGCTGGGAAAGAAACGAGAAAAGTTGGAAAACATGTACTGTATTGTTTACCAATTACTGAGATTTCTACTTGAATACTGGACAAAGGACAACACGGATGACACTTCAAAGATATTGTTTTAAACGTTTGTGGAGCATCAATTCAGATAAATTTGTTCCGCAAGGTTTAGCTAATAAATGAATAGATGGGATATGAATTGTCCATGCAATCGGTATATTAGATTGGCATAGATAATTACTGTGGGAGGCAGTTAAATGTTCTTGAAAATCGGACTAAAACTGTGTTGGAAAGATAAGGTGTTGCTCTGTGGAATGTTTTAAGTTATTTGATTAGTTCCATTATTTTGTCAGATGAGATTTTTTTTATTTGAAAATTTATGTCCTGAGATAAACCAAATTTCCTGCACAAGTAAGCTAGGTCCAGTATACTCGTGCCATCATTTAAACTGAGCTATAGGACCTGGGTTTTCCAGAATATCGCCGCAAATAAGCAGACAACCTCGTTCCCAGGCTCTTCCTTCTTGTTGAGGAAAGACCCTGTCATTTCTCGAGGTAAATTAAAAATGTCATTAGGGTAGGGTGGCAGGGGAGCTCGCTTGGGAAATTACAACTTGTGTAGTGTGTATTATAGTTTCGGACAATAAAATTTAAATTTGCAACAAGTAATCCTGAAAGATTTTATATTTATTATGACACGACTTCCTTTATATTATTGAGTGTTGGATTACGTTAGTCAAGCGAGAAGTTGGATCAGATTTTAGTGGACATGCAAGGCTTTTGGCAAGGAAAGCATACTTCGCTATAAAAACACAATCTATTAGTGTAAAAATCTTCTAGGCCGACCGATCGACCGAACAAACGATGTGGTTGTGATTGTTGTCAGTGTTAAAGTGTACAGTATCCTGTCCGATACGTAAACCCGACTGATTTACCTTACGTATAGAGATGTGGAATTGCTATAAAATAACGAGATCCTGTGATTCCGTCATCTTGCCAACTGTGTCTAAATTCTAAACATGCTCTCCTGACTGTTAGAACCCGTTAAAGACTGTGATATATACCGTTTTGGTACCGCTGAGACTCCATGATCAAGAGTTATGTTGAAATATAGCTTTCTGTTATCAAACGTATATCATCCGATGTAGGCAAAGTCAAAGATTCGTCCGTGCGTGCGGTACAACTTGAATATTTATAGCAATTATTTCATATTTATTACAGTAATATACACTACGCATATTATAATATTATAAAAAGCTTTTATTGCCATTGGTTTTGTAGCTGCATCTATCCAGAATATCCTAAATTTTAGTTCGTAGGGTAGGATGAGATCCAGCTTGTATTTTCAAAATAAACGCATACAGCCCTGCTGTGAGATATCAATATAATTATTGACTTTTTAAAATTAAATATACATTTAGCATTCGACTATGCCGCACTGGAGACAAGCAGTTGCTCAATATAAATTTTAAAATGTTTATTAAAACTTTTCAAATAATGCTATCATATGTCTGTGCGAGGCATTGTGTATATAGGCTACCTGACAAAATCTAGAGACATTTTATACCATATATAATAGAAAAATACTTCGCTGAACATTATCTGCTATCACTCCTTTGCATTCACTGGGCAAGGTATAAAAGGCGGGAGTAAATCGCTAAAGAATTATATAGAAGATTAGACACTGTGTATTATTGTACTTCGTACAAACAAAAAGGCGGTGCAGTAATTGTCTTCTAATTCTTCTACTATAGAGCTTAAGATTTGATGATGCGTTGCCACTACGCGGCCGAACGGAAGTAAACTTACCATATACGACCGACTGCGCATGCCCAAATCATACTACCAGCACTTCTTCTGCTTGTCAAAAACGAAGTTTTTTCTTTTTCTCGTCGTCGTCCATATAAAGTTTTTGCATGTAAAAAAGGACTGATCTCACTCCAGTATCTTTAAATACAAAACAATGCTCGTAAGTACAATGTATACTTTCACAATATTGACATTATAGCTAATTTAAAAAATGTAGACATATAGATTTACAATTTGGTTGTAAAAATGACAAAATTGTGTTTGTGTTGACAAAATTGTATTTCTTTTGTTTGTTAGATCGGAAAAAAGAACAACGAATATGTCTTGGACGATGGACAGAGACATAATTTTTTGCCGTGAGGTTATGGTATCCAACTATGTCATGACGAGAAAGCGTCAACTGAAAGAGGAAAAGTGTGGGAAACTATGCAGATAAATTGAGTGATATGAGGCAGCCTACTTTTCGAGTTGACCAAAGGTCAGTGCGAGACCATGCACTACAATAAACTTCTGAATGGAAGCCAGTGGTATCAGTCCAGAAAATACTGAGTTAGATGTGCTATTGGAAGAGATATCTGAAAGAGAGGAATCAGCATTAGTTGACAAAAAATCCTTGATGAGTAGAAAAGAAAAAACACAGAGGCTGACAAATTGGCAGCTGATGATGTGCGAAGAAAGCAATGGAAACACTATCTGAGGGTAATAGGGGATAAAATGAAGAAAATAATATCAAAAAGAGAAAGAGAAGACAATGGAAATGATGTTGTATTATATCTAACAGAGAAAGCAGAGATGGAAAAAGGAATGAGGGGGAAAGTATTTGAACTGAAAAAGGCAGAGCAAGAGGTAGAGAGAAGCAGACTAGAGAGCAAACTGAGCAGACTCAAAATAATTATACTTGAACACCAAAGTAACCTGTTCAAATCACTAATAGAACAACAACAACAGAACCAGCAACAATCACAAGCAATACAAATGATGCTGCTGCAGCAGCAACAGCAACAAACTCAAGCATTTATGGCTATGCTCGAAAAACTTACAAAGTAAAAATCATGGTTATTGAATATATGGCAATTGGAAAGCCATTTTTTTAAAATTCTGTTGAAACATTCAAAATGTTTTTCTATTACAATTATTATCTAATTGATCAATGAAAAATTTAATTAATTTACAACATATGGCGAATAGAAAGCCATTTCTAAAAATTATATTTAAACCTTTACAACATTCTTATAATATAATTATATACAATTATTTAATAATTAAATATATGTATTGTTTTAATGCACTTGTCAATTGAAGACTCTGAGCATCCCCATTCCCTGAATATCTTCTTGAACAGGTCCTTATAAAGCCGGTTACAGACAAGCAAGTTTTCTATGACTAGTTTGTATGTGGCATGTTTTCTTTGCTCGTCTGCATGTATAGCTAGCATGCCAGCTTATGAACAAGTACTTGTCACAGTAAAAATTGTCAAAGTACAAATTTTGCTCGTCTGTGCGGGTAAACAACGAAAACTTGTCAAAGTAAGCTAAGCACTTGCATGCAGCTTGTCAGCAATCTATTGTTGTAATGGGTAATAATAACCAAATGTGGCAGTCAGAAAACCAAAAACTTTTCATATAAAATGTGTTGCACATACACAAGTGCACTTGGCAAATAAAACTGTCAGTGGCGGCGCCAGGCCCCAATTTTTTTTGTGGGGAGGGCATTTGAGGGGCAAACTCATATTTGGGAGGGGGGCAAGATAGAATTTTTAAAAAGGTACTGCTATTTGCCCATGCCGTTGTCACAGGACTTTTGTCCCCCACTCCCCCAGGAGATTCGCCCCCCTCTCAAAAGGGGGCGATATTCCTAGGAATACCGCCCCCCGGGGGAGGAATATCCTAGGAATATCGCCCCCTCACAGAGGGGAGAATGCTCCAGGAATATCCCCCCCCCCTTTAGGATATTCGCCCCCCATATATGCGATGTCGTTTATTCAAATAATTTCGTGATACTTTCATCTTATTAGTGCCTTAAGGCCCATACAGACCGGACTCTATTTGGCAACGCGACGCGAATTTTCAGTTTTCAATGACATTTAACTTTAATATTTTTCATTGTTTTTCAAATATGCGGGACCACTTAGCAATATTTTAACTATTTGGTCTGCATACCTTCTAAAATTTTTATCCGTCGACGGTTTTATTTGTTTTTGAAAACTTAAAATTCGCGTCGCGTTGCCGAATCGCGTCCGGTCTGCGTGGGCCTTTACACGTTTGAGAATGTAACTTTGCAAAACTAAAGCTTTTTTGTTTTTTTTGAAACGTATTATTGGACTATTGGCAAGTTTTACCATTCAGAGATTTACAAACTAATATTAAACTGTAAAAGACAGTTTCATGTATAGGCGCATTGACTAATGAGTAATGACAACTTATAAGCCATACATTTTCCGATAACGACAAAACGCTTGTATAGCCTTTAGTCGCTCTCAGTGACTAATAAATTTTTTTGAGGGGGGTAAAATGGGGGGGGGGGTTTGGGGGGG